TAATGTGAATAAGTTTTTTTTTTTTTGTAAAAAAAAAAAAGGGGGGGGGGGATTTACCTTTCCTAAGGGGCAGTGCATATTTTTGTCTTCATGTTTGTCCTGTTTATCCCATTTTTCTATTGTTTCAAATATTTTTAATTACAAATCTGCATGCCATTAGGTTTTCACTACTTATGAAATCCAAATTTCATGAAAGTGTGATGTCTAATTTTTTTCATTTTATATCTGTGCAGAGTAAAAGACTTGAAGATGGGGACTACAGTCCTAAAGACTGTGATTCTTAAGATTATCTTGACTGATGGCAGCTGCCAGAGATTGACTCTCTCCCAAGGACTCCCTACATCTATTGATGACCTTATGGCTGAAGTAAAGCAACAGTGCGGGCTTGAGGGCAACTTTAAACTTCAGTTCATGGATTCCTTGTTTGGAAATGAGTTTCTCAACCTGACTTCAATTTCGGAACTAGAAGACAAAGGTACTCTTAAAGTCATTGATATGTCAAAGCCCACCACAATGCACAATGATGAAAGTGGTGTTTCCAACCCACTGTAAGTATTCGGTCCTCCCTCTCTAAATGATTCCCTCCTGTCAGGTGGATCTGTACATACAGATATCTTGTCATCATGTGAGTCTTCAAGCTCACGGTCTTCTTGGCCTGTTGTTTTTCATGTGCCAAAGTTTTTCTATGATGCTGAATTAAAACTTCAGCTTATGTCCAGAATGGCACTGTGCTTATTCCAGATCTGTGCAGATTGCACCGCACACATTTGTGATCATCATGACACATACATAAATCGCTTCGTACAGATTTGCAATGTTGATTGTATTTGTAAAACATCAAATACACATTTGTACTATTATTGATAGGATTTTACCCCATACAGTTGAACCTAATTCCTTTTGTGTATATCACTTTTCACAGATAAACACTGAATTCAAAAGAATAACCACGTTCCCGCTACAGTCCAGGTTTATGTCTCAGCTGGGCATACACTCTGACAAACTGACAAATCTGTTTCAAAAAAGAGGAGGTCAACTTGGACAAAGGCTCAAAACTGAGGTAAGTGGTACATATTTGTGTTGGTCATCACTAATTTTGACAATGGTGTTTGGACTTTTGGGCAGGTCATAAAGTTTTAGAATGTCTTAGTTTATGAATATATTTTGGCAGTAACTTTGTGAAAGGTGAGCAGCTTCGCTGTGCTAATCTGAGCCTTGAATTTGAGAACTGTGCACTGAATTTATGATTAATTTACATTTTACTTATTGTATAGTACTAAAGGGCCTGAATTCAGATAATAATAGACATTTTCTTGTTCAGTGTGATGATGTAGATGCCGGACGAGAGTGCATTATTAAAGGAGTCTGTATCTACATGGGTGAAGATCCAGAAAACCTGGTCCAGGAATGTGTGGTATGTATACATGTGTATATGAATCATTGCCTGCTTTTCCCTTTATCCTCCATTGCTCTTTTGTTTATCGAATTAATTTCTCAAGTGGTGGACTTAAAAACTGTTCAATATTAATCATTTTTGGGCTAGCCCATGCTACAAGGGGCGTCAAACCGTGACGCCACCCGATAAGCAAGCTTTGCAGCTGCTCTATCGTTTAGCCAAAACATGAGGAAAAGTCAAGGTGCGTGACTGTTGTTTTCGTGGTGTGTATCTAAACAATTGGACATAACCTTACACATTAAGACAAATATTAAGACTAGCATTACAGTTGACCCTAAAAGCTCTTTTCCTGTAACCTTGGCGTGCCTGCAATCCTTACTGCAGGCTGAATAGTTACAGCAAAGCTAGTCACCCTGTCTGCACTAAACATTTCTAGACAACAGATCTCTAATCCATATCTATCTAACTAAGAAATAACCTAACACAACTATTAAAGGAAGTGTGTGCTTTCATTTATTTATTTTTTACTATCAACTGCTGAGAAACACTGTATTTGTTTAATATTGTGCAGTTATTTCCCCCCCCCCTTGCCTCACTTGTCTTGTCCATCCTGTCACTGTATGTCTTGTGGCACAGGGCATGGATGAAGAGTCCATCAATGAAGCCATTGAAGACACCACTCTGGGGATTTATGTCCAGAAAGAACAAGCTTCAAGTACCGAGGCAGAGGACATTGGAATTGTTCTGGAGGGCATCAAGGTGTTGCAGGATTTGGACAATGAGGCATTGGCTGTTTCCATGCTCTTTGGGCTAATGTACACCCTCAACCTCAGTTATCCTCGAAACCTCCACTACACTGTTGAGGTACTCCAAAAGATCATTTTGGAACTGAATGGAGATGAACTTTCTAATAAGGGACTCGCTCTGAAAACCAGACTGTTTCATTGAAAGGGTCAGAGCCAGAACAGTCAATGCACATCGCACACTACAACACAACCATCAATCCTTATAATGTGAGAGAGATGTTTACGGAAAATAATTCTTGTTTAAAAGTTTAAGGAAAGTACTGAAGTACAATTTATTTGCACTCTTATTTTATACTTCCTTGGGATGAATTTTTACTCAGTTTGTTTAATTTGTTTAATTTTGACACTTTCAGTTTGGTTTACTTGAGTAAAAGGTATTCTTGGCAATGTACTGTTTGCTGGCACTTTGAGATAGTGTTAACAGTTTAAAATATGTTTTCACTCTTAGAACTCTTGAAATTTATATAGGGTTTATACATCTACTGTTCTTAATATATTCTGAAGATACATTTGTACAGACTGTTTTGATTGCTGTTAATGATATCTGCACTCCAAAGCCCATTTTGGGAAAATCCTGCTTTTGGAAAAGTTGATTCCCCATCATGATTTACTGAGAGAAGATACTGTTGTTTTAAAATCCATGTTGAAACGGGCATTATGTAATTGTGTTTTTGAGCATTGAACACTGTTTTTGAAGCATTGTATGCCCTCCGTTTGTGATTACGTTTGCAGCAGCCTCTCTGGATGCAGCATTTGTTTGTGATACCTGTCTCTTTGTGTGAAGTTAGTTTACCATTTAATATTCAACACACCTTGACATGGAACCACTGGTTTAGAAATACAATTTCGATAATGAGCTTCAACAAATCTTTTTAAATTCATAGGACGTAATGAAAATACTATGACGTTACCCAATACCATTAAATAAAGCTTGCATTTAAAATCAAGTTGGAATTACAGTTAAGAATTGGGTTTCCTGAACATGATTAAATTATTTTAACATTACACAATAGATTGGGTTTACATTTTGAACATTTAATAAGTTGAAACAGCATGATTCTGTTAAACAATCTAACGTGATTGAAATTAGTTGGTTTAACAAGAAATTATTAATTGAGAGAAAGAAGAAAATTATGTTGGTTTTGCACATTATCATTATGTGGGACCGATGTACGCATTACAATCAAGTAAATCCAACATTTTTTTTTCAGTGTGCCCTTGTTTTGTTGCGAAGAGTCACCTTATGTTTGAACTGTGTTTCCCCAGACCGGGTTGGCCTCTGGCTCTGGATCTCTGCTGTCAGCTTTTGTCACACCGTCCCGCTGCCTGCTTTCACATTTCAATATTGTATTAATTACTGGGTTCAGGAGGGATCTGATCCTCATCCTGCACACCAGACCAGCGATCACCTGTGCCAGTTCCTGCCTGCTTGGACTGCTTCCCATGCCTGCGGTGCTTTCCTGCCAAGAGCCAGCACACTCAGGTGTTGAAGTCCTCAGTATGACTACTGGAGCTAGCTCTTACCTTAGCCTACCGATTACTCTGTCTCTCTCTCTCATCCTCAGTTCTTATTCAGCAGGCTGTGCCTCTCCTTCAACCCCAGGTTACATCGCTAGCAGTCCAGTCAATGCAGTGTTCCCAGCTGCCCCACCAGTCAACGCAGTGTTCCCAGCTGCCCTGAGACTGGCTGAAAAGACCGGCTCTATCCACTTGTCATTTCTATAACTTATTAAAATACATTTACCTTGTCAAGCCTGAATCCGAGTCCTGCA